TATTGCGATATTCGGACAGTATCGAGATATAAAAACTTGCCCAATCCTAATGTGAAGTGGGGGTGGAGCATGTAAAAATCCTCCACTCCAAATGAATTCTGTGTATGTTTTGCTGGAGGGTTACTTCATCATCATGTCAACTCCATACCTACAGAGTAACATGGTTCCACATGAAAAGGAAGACAAATAACAGTGATGGTTGCTGGTACCAGGCTACACCAGCCAAAGGGCAGAGTCTGTTGTGGTTATTGTCGTGAATATTGCTGTTTAGCCTTCGAACATGTGAGCGACCATGTGCAAGTGTGTACATGCCCGCTGGTTTTCAGTGATTCCGAGAAAACATTGGCTGATCATGTCTCTGCAGCCTTGCCTCGAGAGTTTTGATGTTTATCCTTTTATGCCTCGGTTTGCTGACACATGCTCTGCGTCTGCTCTGTGTGCATTACGCACACATTCGCACAGCTCTTGGCCCGTCCAACTCTTCAGGAAGAACACACATCTGACACACACGTCCACACACACACACTGTGATTTGCTGCACTAAGGAGTACACTGGAGCATTACCCTTGTGTGTGTGGAGGATATTCCCACCTTAAAGGATACGACTCACATTGCATTCACACTTTTAGGGCCAAGAGCGTTCAAGGAAGCTTTACTACAGGAATTACTACTACATCCTTTGTGTTTATATCTACAATGAGGATTCCTTCCCCTCTCTGTCGTTACTCCCCTTTGCACTGCTCATTAATGAGTTACTCTTTAAGTTGTCACAAGAGTTGTCACATGTATTAATGCTTTTTATCCTTTGAATCTAAAACACTGGCAAAGGAGAAAGGAGCTTTTGTCACCAGACCTACAAGATATTGACTGGGATTTTTCTGCCTATTTGATTTTATGTAGCCCACGGCAGGGCCAGCAAGTTTAACTTTTAAGTCATACTGACACACTGGGGCTCAATTTATAGCACTCGAGCCTGTATTAATGAATATTCAGTTTAGGGTTTGAAGCAGTGTAATCATGTATATTTTTATAAATGTCACATAGAGTATCTAACAAATAATTCCTGTGTGTGATTGTTGTGTGGAGAAATATGTTGTCTTTGTATAAAGCCATTAGTTTACGAGTTCATCAATCAATAATTATTGTTCATTGAAAAGTTAAAGTTGGGTTGTTATTTAATAAATCATTGGTTTACATTAAAAGTCACGTGTATTTTCTGTCACAGCGTTTTCATGATTAAAATCAAACTTTTCAGTGAAACTTTAACCTAAAGAATTTGATACTAATATATATTTTTACCCCATTCTCCTTCCTCTCTTTACGTTTCTGCCTCCATTCTCTTTCTCTTCATTCTCCTCCCATCTTCTTCTTCCAATTTTTATTTCATACATCCTGTTCTTTTATCTTCCTTCTCCTCCTCTTTCCATCTTTCCCTTTCTCTGTCCTTGCAGTGACAGGGAAGCCCTTTTTCATAGTGTCTAGTTTCTCCCACGCTGGTTGTTCGGCTGGGAGGGCTGCCGTTCTCACGGCTGGGCCGGCTTCTTCTTTGGTTGCGGGAGCCTCATCACGATGACCATGGTCAGCCTGGACCGGTACCTCAAAATCTGCCATCTCAGATACGGTACGTCAGTATCTCTTTTATTATTATTATTATCCATCCAGTTCTGCTATTGCTACATGGCCACCATATAGCATTAACAGCTGTTTATTTACCAGTCTTGTGTTTACAAGACAAGAAGTTATAATACGTCCTCCGAGCAGCGCAACTTCTTCAGGCAGCCTTGATGCTACAGTGACTCAGTATCGGAAAAGTGACGAAAGGGTTTGAATGGCATGCTAACTTCAGTAGAAGAAAAGAAGTGATAGAATAAGCAAAACAAGAGTTGGCGTTTCTTTCCACCACTGGAGATTAAATAAATTAAGTTTGAACTTGCAACATTTCTTCTGGACTAGTAGGCTAATTAAACCGCTGTCAATGCTAACGCTAACGATAGCTATGTAGCGATAGCAGAAAGATCTCCTTTAACAACAAACTTGTCTCTTGCTCAAAGGTGAGCAATTACCAACCCCTAACTGGTTTAGTGAAATCATTTGTAGTTGAAACACACATCTCACACAGCTGCACAGCAAAGAAGCAGGGACACACATCTTAAAGCTATGCCAGATTAATTTACATGATCCACACAACGCACCAGAGGTCAGAGTGAGAAGATAAGGTTGGAGTGTGACAGTTTAAAAATAGGTTTTTTAATTATCTATCTCACCACTAAGCCATCCATCATTCTACTTCTCTTTTCTTTCACTCCCAGGCACATGGCTAAAACGCCACCATGCCTTCCTGTGCCTGGTGTTTGTGTGGGTGTATGCAGCCTTCTGGGCCACCATGCCCCTGATCGGCTGGGGGAACTACGCCCCCGAGCCCTTCGGGACTTCCTGCACACTGGACTGGTGGCTGGCCCAGGCCTCTGTGTCCGGCCAGAGCTTCGTCATGGCCATCCTCTTCTTCTGTCTCATCCTCCCCACTGGCATTATCGTCTTCTCCTACGTCATGATCATCGTCAAGGTCAAGTCTTCGGCAAAGGAGATCTCGCACTTCGACGCCCGTATCAAAAACAACCACAACCTTGAGATGAAACTCACAAAGGTGGGTGAGGGTTTGGAGGAACACTGAACACTGCTACAGAGAGGAAGTAGAGGAAAGAGGACATGACATGATTTAAATATTGCTTTGTGTCCTCTCCCAGGTGGCGATGCTGATCTGTGCAGGCTTCCTGATAGCCTGGATCCCTTATGCAGTGGTGTCAGTGGTGTCAGCGTTTGGTGAGCCAGACTCGGTGCCCATTCCTGTGTCTGTCATCCCCACCTTGCTGGCCAAGTCCTCAGCCATGTACAACCCCATCATCTACCAGGTCGTGGACCTGAAAAACTCCTGTGCGAAATCCTCCTGTTTTAAGGCCCTGAAGAAACGCAGTCATTTTAGAAAGTCGAGGTAAAACAGATTTTTCTTGACTTTATTGCTGATTTAGTTGCACTTGCATTCGCTGGCTAATCACTGGCTCACTCGCTGCTGTGTGGCTATCAGCTGACTAGATACATAATTGATGTTATGGACATTATAACCTGACACTTCACACCATTACTCTGCTAATAGGCTCATGTCCATGCTGTATCTCCTTGCTGTATGCCAAGCTTTTGCAATTGTCCCAATCTCCCGCTTGAATGGTTGTTTTACCTCAGGTCTTCTAGTCTATGTTTCAGCCGTTCCCAATTACCCCAGCCTCCCTTCCTGTATTTAAATCTCTGTGTTTTCCTCATTCTTTGTCAGTTTGTCCGTATTCCCTCGTGTTTACAACTGATACCATTTGAATTTTTTTGTTTTTGTTCCTGTTCATGTTCCTGAGGATCACGCTGTGTCTTGCTACCTCAGTGCCGATCTCCTGCTTTTAGTTTCCTGCTTGCATATCTAACTGAACTCCTGTTTATCCACCCCTCCGCCTGTTTTCCTTCAGGTATTACACTGCGCTGCGTCTACCTGCCTTTGTGTGTGTGTCTGCATTTGGATGCAGAAACCGCTGAACCGTGACATTCTTGTTGTTATGTTTCCGTTCATATTTCTTTATGTTTATTAAGTAGGGATTAGTTCTCTCTGCAGAATCCTTGTTGCCTCAAAGATTTTTTTTTAAGCTTCTTTGAACAGTAATGCCTTTTCCACCAAATCTGCAGTATTATAATAATTTACTATAAATGATTAGTTGATAAATAAAAAAGGTCTCTGACTGAATTTTAATTAAAGAATTTATTTAGTTAACCCTTATTTCACCTCTCCGTATCATTACGCAAGCAGGAAACCGCTGAATACCCCGGGGTTCATTGTTTGGCAACTAGTTTATTGTAATAATCCTTTTGTAATTATTGTGCATGGTAAAAAGTTTTTTTTGTGTGCTGTCGGCTTACATGATATCACTTTGCCTCCGGTTTCCATCACCCTGAGCATGATGGGAACTACAGGGCCAAAACTTGAAACATAGTGCTCAAATGGAAATTGGAAAACAAAATCTATAAAACTGCCTTTTTTTTTCTTGTCATTTTACAGTTGAAGTAATTTTTTTGACATATAAGGTTCATAATGTCCTACTATCATAGTTTTTTTTATAACTGTAGACATAAACAGTTTTAAATTATGTAAAACATCACATTTAGGCATATCCGCACAATAAATGAGAAATACAACAATATGTGCAGTAAGATTGTGGGCAGTGCAGGAGTTCTAATCGTCTGTTGTTGTCGTGAACTGAAACACCTTTCAGTGCTTTTTAATTGTAAACTGCACTTCAACTGTTTCTCAAGGGCGTCTGACAGAAAGCTCTGTTTTTTATTGTTAGTAACTTCACCATCGACTCAAGTGCAGGGAGTGATTTCAGCTCGTGTCATGTCCATGTGTGTGTTTACTTATATTTGTTACACTTAGTTTTCTGTTCTTTAACTTATAAAAGTTAGAAGTAAATGGTTAGAGGTAAATTTGCACAGTTTTATGTTCCCGTCCAGACATGTTTTAAACTCTGTAAAAATACTCTGCTGTGATTAATATTTTCTTTCACATGGTTTTCACACATAAAAAGTGAAGCTCATCTACTCTTACTTACTCTTACTTACTTACCTCATTGAGAAATCCTGGATCAGACCTTATGCCCCGCCCACCACCTGCTTGCTCCAGGTTGACAGGTGAAAGATGAAGAGGAGGAAACATCAGAGAGGGGTCTTTAAAACAAACAAACACTGATACCTGCGTTCTCTCCTGTTTTCGTGTCCCTGCAGGTTCTACACCATCTCTGGCGCGTTAAAGGACACACCACCAGCCAAAGACGCTCACATCGAAATGTGAGACAGACACTTTAGACTGTGTGACCCCCCCCCCTCCCTTCTTACCTATTTTACTTTGGACAGTTTGCCATGTTCCGTGACCCCCGTGCCCTGCACTTTCCCAGTCACACGCTGCCTGTCATCTGCTATGACACCATCAACTGCTCACCGTCAGTCTCGCTGCTTGTTTTTACACCCAAGCTGGAGTTTCGTGCTGCTCTTCCCCCACATCTTTCCCACAAGGTTTTTCCTCAATCTGTGGAGTTTTTACGTTATTTGTACAGTGGTTATGACTTTCAAGTGACATGTTGTGTGGACTTCTTGACTTTCATTTTTCAGTATCGCAGACACACTGTCTGTCATGCTTTGAAAAACAAAAACAAACAAACAAAACAAAAAGACGCGTGTCACCGGGGCGACTGACTGCACTGTTGTGACTACAGTATGTGGCTCGACTCAGGTTTGAAAACTTAAGAAGATTCATGTGAAATCTGGAGCTATAACTCGCAAAAGAGTGAATATGCTATAAGAATTTTATTTATTAAAATTATTGTCTTTAAAGTTCAACTGCAAATTTAAAAAAAACAAACAAAAACAACAACAATATGTGAGCCATCTTCAAATCTGGTTTGGGTGTAATCCTCAAGCACAAAGTTGTATTTTTACTGTAGCTACTCCCACACCTGAGGCTTGTATACTGACTACACTCATCAAGCACTTTATCAGGAACACCTGTGCACCTGCTTAGTCGTGCAATTATACAATCAGCCAATCATGTGGCAGCAGTGTGATGCATGAAACAACAAAACATCCAGTGAGCAGCAGCTCTGTGGACAGGAACCTTGTCGATGAGAGACGTCAGACTGGTTGGACCTGACAGAAAGGCTACAGCAGATAACCACTCGGTTCAACCATGTCGAACCTTGGGGATTGATGGACTCCAACATCAGAGGGCCACGTCAGATTTCACTCCTGTCACCAACAACAGAAATTTGAGGCTGCGGTGGACACAGTCTCACCAACGCTGGACGGGTGAAGACTGGAAAACCTAGACTGGTCTGATGGATCTGGATTTCTGCTGAGGCAGCAGATGAATCCTTGGACCCAACCTGACTTGTGTCAACAGCCCGGAAACTTAAAACCAATCAATCATGGTTTGAATGCCACTGTCTGAGTACTGTTGCCGACCATGTTCATCCCTTCATGGCCACAGTTCACCGTCTACTAATGGCTACTTCCAGCAGGATAATGCTCGTCTCAAACTGGTTCCATGAACACGACAGTGAGCTCAGTGAACTTCACTGGTCTCCCCTGTCACCACATCTTTGGGATCTGCTAGAACAGGAGATTGTGCAACTGACAAATCTGCAGAAATGATGCGATGCGGTCACGTCAACATGCAGAACAATCTCGACATGTTGTGGCATCCACGACACGAAGAACTGAGGCTGTTATGAGGGCAACGAGGGAGGAACTACCCAGTATTAGTTTGGTGTTCTAAATAAAGTGTTCGGTGCATGTATTTCAGAGGACACTGAATCTCTTCAGCTTATGTTCTCATCAGATGTTAAACTGCACACAAGGAGACATTTTGTGAGTGAAATCAGTGAAACCAAGACTTTGATATTGCTTTTCCAGGGTATTTTTGCAGAACTCATCAAAAGCTTTTTTATTCCTGAGATGAGTGTTCACGAGTGAGCTAAATGGCTCAATGCTTAAGGCTTAATGCTTAACGAGGAAACACACACACACACACACACACACACAGGATGAGTGCACTTTACTTGCAAAACAGTTCATTATGCACTGACAAGAGTTTGGTGTTACACATGTATAGTATATGTTGTGGAGTTTTGCAGAGAAGTGGATGGACATACAATATTCATTCAAAGAAACAACTCCAGACTTTTATGTTCTTCTATCAGAAAACAAAATTGACACGAGAACATTTATGGTCGATTCAGGAGCCGTTTTTAATCTATCTGTTCACACTTTCTTGTGTTTTTTTTTTTTTTTTGCCACAGCCAGAAATAACAGCATTTATTTTTCCATGATGCATTAAAGAAATAACTTTGGGAAATGCACTTATTTTGTTTAATGCCAAGAGTTAGAGGAGAAGACGGATACCACTAATGTTTTTTTATGAAGGTAGAAGGTAGACAAGGAGGCAATTAGCTTAGCTTAGCATAAAGACTGGAAGCAGCTAGCCTAACAATGTTCAATTTTAATTTTTTTTAATTAACACATTGTATCTTGCTTTTTTAAAGCAGCTATTTCTAAGTTTTGCTATTGCTACATAGCTAACGTTAGCATGAACAGCTGTTTACTTACCAGTGTGGAAGAAACGTTGTGAATTCAGCATCAACCTTCATTCTTTTACTCACCAAGAGCTGTCTCCAGAGATGTAAAGCAATGCTAATGTTAACTCGCCTCCTAGCTCCAGCTCCATAACTAAGGCTTTTGGAGATACATGAGAGTGACAGTCTGTTACGACCTGCAAGACAAGTTTCCTGTGACCAATTTGGGACAACGAAGCTAGAACTAACATTAGCGAGCTAAACTGCTAGCATGTCTACAGCTGGATGGCCAATATTGCGACGTAGAAGCGGTCAAACAATACAAAAACAAATCAGCTTTATTGTGTTTTTGCTTTATGGACTTTTTCTTGGTTTACAAGGACTGTTGCGCTCAGCGTTACCTTCCTCTGCACAAGTAATCAAGCTTGCTAATCTAGCTACTGTAACGTGGCCCGCTGACCCCTTCTATTGCATGACCCTTGCATTGCAGGTCTTAGTGCTTGAAAATTGAAAGTCTTGTCTAAACAGTTAGATGTATCGTAGTCTCCCATGGCCAGACTTATCTCCACCTAACTGTGTAGATGTATCCCAGAACATCTTTTCCTTTAAATTCAATACTTACTTGGTTTAACGTCTTCCCTTTTAAACACACCTGGGTTCTCATTCATAAAAATGTTCTTTTTAATGTTCATGAATACACATATCTAAAATGAACATGAGCAATATTTAAAAAAAAAAAAAAAATCACTTACTGAAGATTGTGCACGTCTTTCGCTTGCACCTTCACGCCATCATTCATAAATTGTTGAAGGTACTCGATCAAGCTTTTCAGTGTCATCCAGTGGGTGGCAGGGAGTAAGTTAAAATAAGGGGAAGGATCCTTTCGTGACACAAGGCTCATGCAAAGGTTGGGTTGTAATGATCAAGCCTGAGTTATTTCAGCATGTAAATGTCATGCGTATGTCAGGTGAGGACCTGAGGACCCTGAACCTTTCCACGTCAAGTTCTGCAATACAGGTTCCTGCAGTCACACCTGGTAGGATGAGAACTGGTTCTAGATGAAGCCCTCTGAATGATGAAGAACTCTGCAAGTTCATGAACACTCATTCACTAATGTCAGCTGCTCCGCAAATTCAACCTACCACCGCCTAGACCATCCGCACCCCTACAATCCCAATCGCTACATAAAGGGACCAATGCTTCCTCCAGTGTCACTGAATGTCGGCAATGGACATCAAATCCTGAAGTTCAGAATACTCCAGTATGGACATGATGTCTATGGCCATTGGATTTGAAAGTTGTCACTTTACTTTCGGTAAAACAAATGTAATTTTTTGAAATTGTGTTGGGTGATTAGACAATCTATACCAATGGAGAAGATAATTCTACTTTCATCATTATATTTGGACCTACCTCAAATACTGCACTAGACAATGTCAAAGCAATCAGTCATAGTTACAGTAAAAGACGGCAGCAAAGTGCAGATCTTTACTCTGAATTTTATTCATATGGCTATTTGGCTGATTCTCAGAACATGTGGCCAATAAACCCTCCTGTACAACATTACTTCAACAAATGGCTGCAGTTTCGTTGAATTCTCTGGTAATATGGGACCTTTTCTAGTGCAGCGATGCTCCTTTTGCTGCTGAAAGTTGTATGTCATTGTCTCGCTGTGCCTTTTGTAAACATGCCACGTTGTTCCTCTTTTGTTTTCCCATGTGTGTCTGCACTCAGCTCAAACTTAAGTGTTTGGACATGTCCTACTGTCTTAAACACCTGACTGGCCTCTATTATCACTGCAACACACATAAGTCAGACACTGTGGATTCTCTAGCAACTCTTCAGTGTCACTTATTCAAGTCTAAATTTATCCGCTGGATTTACACACTGTGTCTTCGCGTAAGTTTTGTTGTGTCATTTGTGTTGTTATAAATTAGCCCCTTTTGTACCCTCTTCTGTAACGTCTTGGGAATATCACACAAGTAACCAATACTTAGCTTCTGTGGACAATTCTCATTTAAAATTTGCATATGCTACATTTTGAACCAAATATGTTCATGATCTCATATAATATATTTATAATATTAGGTTTTCTCCTGCAGCTCAGCTCCACAGAAAATACATGTTTGGGGACCTGCTAAAAATATTCCCAAGACCAACTGAGCAATGGCCAACAATGGTGTTGTTTTAAGAAGCAATCTTACGTGTTAATCCATATTCCCCTTCCATTTTCCTCCCAGACGGATATACAGCAGTTTTACACAATATGCATCACCTGCTAAGTTCTAGATGGACAATATTGATTTTTTTTATTCAAAATGTTTCCTGGAGGTAATAATGTATTTTGGCCACTGGAAATTTTTAACAAATCGAGGTAATTTGCATATATCCTAGTACATTGTGTCCTTAGACCCCTGTAAAACACTCCTGCACCAAACCTTTTGCACCAGCTCAGTATTGCTTTGGTTCTGCACTGTCTACTTCTATACAGCTTGGAGTCAGGACCAATACAGCTAATGTTTATGCACAAAGTAAAGCATTATATCACAGGCCGGGGTGAGTTTCATATCTAAAGTTTGGTGAATAATCATAAGCCTTAATATTTCACATAATAAATATTAGAAATCCTGAACTGAGGTGACCTGGCCTGTTGTTGTTGATGATGATGGTGGTGGAGACTATGATGTCCCTGTTTGGCATCAAATTGAATCTCAGGTATTGGTTG